CGAGGAGCGGCAGCTGCGGGAGCTGATCCGCGGCGCGGGCAGCGCGCAGGAGCTGCTGCAGCTGAGCGGCGCCGCCGGCAGCAGCAACCTGGCGGCGCTGGCCATCGCCCGGCTGGCGCGGCTCGGCACCGAGCACGGCCTGGACACGCGCAGCCTGCACCGGGACCCCCGCTTCCTGCGGCTCCTGGGCACGCTGGACGGGCAGGTGCGGCACGGGGACGGGCACGGGGACGGGGACGGGGATGGGAGTGCTTCAGATGGGGGTGGCAGTGCTGGGGACAGGGATGGGAGTGCTGGGGACAGGGATGGCAGTGCTGGCAGCCTGCACCGGGACCCCCGCTTCCTGCGGCTCCTGGGCACGCTGGACGGGCAGGTGCGGCACGGGGACGGGCACGGGGACGGGGACGGGGATGGGAGTGCTGGGGATGGGGGTGGCAGTGCTGGGGACAGGGATGGGAGTGCTGGGGACAGGGATGGCAGTGCTGGGGACACAGCTGGCAGTGCTGGGGACACAGCTGGGAGTGCTGGGGATGGGGGGGGGAGTGCTGGGGACAAGGCTGGCAGTGCTGGGGGCACACCTGGCAGTGCTGGGGACAGGGATGGCAGTGCTGGGGGCACACCTGGCAGTGCTGGGGACAGGGATGGCAGTGCTGGGGACACAGCTGGGAGTGCTGGGGACACACCTGGCAGTGCTGGGGACAGGGCTGCAGTGGCTGCTGTGCCCTGCTCCATACCTGAGTGCTCAGGGCACACCTGGGGCACAGGCTGGCAGTGCCCAGGTCACTCCAGGGGGCTCAGGGCACACCTGGGCACAGGCTGGCAGTGCCCAGGTCACTCCAGGGGGCTCAGGGCACACCTGGGGCACAGGCTGGCAGTGCCCAGGTCACTCCACAAGGCTCAGGGCACACCTGGGGCACAGGCTGGCAGTGCCCAGGTCACTCCAGGGGGCTCAGGGCACACCTGGGCACAGGCTGGCAGTGCCCAGGTCACTCCAGGGGGCTCAGGGCACACCTGGGGCACAGGCTGGCAGTGCCCAGGTCACTCCAGGGGGCTCAGGGCACACCTGGGAGGTGGCACAGGTAGAGGAGCAGTGTCCCAAATCCACAGTGGCTGCCCCTGTCCCACATCTGCCCCACAGCTGTCCCTGTGGCAGATCTCCCGGGTGTGGAACACTGCTGGTGGGCCTGTGTCACTCACGTCCCTGTGTCACACCTGGCCCCGTGTCACACCTGGCCCTGTGTCCCCATGTCCCTGTGGCAGATGTCTCAGGTGTGGAACACTGTCTGTGTCACCCTGTCCCTGTGTCACACGTGTCACTGTCCCCGCAGATGTCTCAGGTGTGGAAC